GCCTCGTACATGGGGCCAAACAAATCTGTAGGAAATGCGAAACTTAGACCAAAAAAAAAACAACAACTCAAACAACATTAACGGCTTCTTTATAGTCTGACCTCTGTACTCCTGGGGTTCGTTTCGTTTTTTTTTTTATTTTTGGAAGAAGTTAGGATTTGCTTTGCCGTCTAGATGTCTGTCCCCCAGCCAGGTCCATGTGTCTGTAAATCACTGTTTATGGCAGGCAGGAAGGCATTCAGGCAAGGCCCACACACACCACCCCACCTTCAGCATCTCCACATACCAAACAACTGCCATAATCGTGTTTAACTACATGTTTGTTCCCTACCCATCGTCTCGTATCGTATTGACCATTCATTGGAAATACCCCTCTTTGGTTGTTAGAAGATCGTCACCAGGATCTCCAGACACGCGGGCCCAAACAACACCAACAAAAAAACCTTTAAAAAAGTGTAGGAAGAAACTGAACGAATGAAAATAAATAGACAAAAACCGATACCATTTGTAGCACTTCATATCGAACGAAACCCGAAACAAATTTCGCTCGTTTAGTTTTATGTTGAAAACCATTTAAGTAACAGAAAAACAATTTCATTTTATGTTAAATCGTGTCGATGCATAATTTCATTCGAGATATTTCCATTTTCGCCAGGGCTAGCCAGAAATTCTCTGAACTCACGCAATTTGTTCGGATCGAAATGATTTCTTTTTTTAAGGAAATGAAAAGCAAGATTTTCCAATGCATAAAAAATAACGGATGACTAATCGATAATGGTCAAAGGGGTATGCAGATGGCATGGTAGAAGAATACAGGTAATCGTATCGACTCAGCTGATGAGACAATGCTACAATTTTTAAAAATGCATATCATAACAACCTCCGATTGGTGTCGTACGCGAAAACTTATAAAAATCTACTTTTTTTAAAAACAAAAACATTTAAAAAAATTGACATATTAATGTTTCCAAGCGTGGATGCATCTACCTATATTGTTCTACCATGGTAGATGGCAGCAAATTAATTTTTAAACAATGAATATTCGGCCAGCAGTATTCTGGTGTTGAAGAAGGGTTAATTGAAAAGCCAAACGTGTTAATTTTTACTCAGCTTCTGTGGAATTTACATCCCTGGAATAAAAACTATCAGCTGATTTGACATTGTCATCCGATTTCCAATATATATATAATAATAACCTGCGAACTTTTAATACTATTTTGACTTCCAATGTATCCTACTTCAGAATTAAAGAATAAGCGGTTGCATTCACAGATGTACCATTGCTGGTTAGATTCTTGTTGTTGGCGTTTACGTCAAATGAAATCGACTCTCAATTTCAGTGGATATTATTTGACGTATACGCAATGCAATTGACAGTTGAAATCTACTGACTTTTTTATGTGTTTACGGCGTTTAATGTCTTACTCAGGCGCAACGGTATCATGGCAGAAGAATACAGGTAGATGCATCAACGCTTGGGAGCATTGAAATGTCAAAAAATTTTAAATGGTTTTTTAAATATAAGTAGATTTTTATATTTTTTATTTTACGACGTCATTCGGAGGTTCTTATAATTCGTGTTTTTTAACAATTTTTACAAATTTAAATAATTTTTCATTGAACATTTTCAAATCCAAAATTTGTTTGACAGTTCATTGTCTCAGCAGCTGTGTCGATGCGTCTATCTATATTCTTCTACCATGAACGGTATTTAATCCCATATCGTGTTCTCATTGTGCACTCCGTTTAAGCCTCCATATGAACATGGCATAAGTACGTTATGCTCTCATGGCAGAAGAATACATGTAGACGCATTGAAATTGAAATTTTTGAATGAAAACTTATTTTATTTGTAAAAATTTCTGACAAATGCATATTATAATAACCTCCGATATACGTCGTATACGAAAACACATAAAAATCTAGTTATACTTGAAAAAAAAAACATTTTAAAAATTTTAACGTTTCAATGTTCCCAAACGTGAGAATAGTTAATACATTTTTTTAATTACTAACTTAAATTTTAATATTTTGTCGGTCCACCGTTAGCGTCAAAAACAGCTGCTAGACGTCTAGGCATCAAAGACACTAAACTTTCAATTATATCGGGCGTTATTTCAGACCATGCTCGAACTAGGTCTTTTTTGTCATATTTTCTCATTTATTTTTTCAATCCCAAACATTTTCTATGGGATTGAGGTCCGGCGACTTGGGAGGTAAATTAAGTTGTCCGGAGCATAATAGAAAAGCCAGTATCGGACGACGTGAGTTGTATGCTTCAGATCATTGTCTTGTTGGAAGATCCATTTAGTTCCATGTTACCCAAGTTACCGACAGATGGCTTTAAATCTTCTTCTAATATCGATTCATAGAGCTTTCTATAAAAACATAATTGACCACTCCAGATTCCGCAATTCAACCTGCCACCACGGTGTTTAACTGTAGGTATTATATTTTTTTGTATATAGTGCTGTGTTGGATTTTCTCCAAATTTTTGATCGTCCATCACTTCCCAAAAATGTTGTATTGGATCCTGACTTACTTTCTTGATTATACTGCTAACATCTCGTTTGGATAACAATTTCGAGCTTAACTATAGTTTAGTAAAAACCAGTGGTAGTTATTTTTAACCTGATTCCAGGAAACAATTTTTTGGGGGGACGGACACGGAACCCCAGATTTTTGACCCGAAATTCCGGGTTCAAGACGCGGAATAGACATCGTTGGAAAGCTTATGAAAACTCTGACACTCTTACCTTTCCAAAATGTTACAATTTGTGCTATTACCTTTCTGCTTTCCAACGATACTTATATTGTCTATATCGGGCAAGTGGATCCGGGTCTAGTCCAGGTCTTGAATCCGGACTTTCGATTTAAAAATCATTGTCCGTTTCCCAACATAAAATAAGTTTCCCGGAATCAGAGTAAAAATAACTACCTCTGGAAAAAATGTCGAGAAAATCAAAGAGTTTCTATTAAATTTGAGTTGTTCACAATTTCGATCTTGCAGATCACCCTTTATTTTCAGTTGTACCGCTTTCATTATAATTTCGTATTACAGTTTGCACAGTTGAACGGCATAAATTACAAGTTTTGGCGATTTATCCGTATGATATATATTTCTTTACTAAAATATGAGTTTCGTTTCGGTTTCCCATTTTTAGAGATTCACGATGTAACAAAAAAAATATTTTATGGAACACTTTGCACACTAAAAGTTCGTTTACATACGAAATCTCTACACAGATTATTGGCCAATCACAAAACATATGACCATATAAAACATACCTTAAATTTATTGTGATTGGTCAATTATCAGGGTTAATACGAGTAGAGACCCTGTATGTAAACGTACTCTAAAAGGCTTCTAAAGACATCGAAAATAAAAGTGACGAAAAATAAATAAGGGTTCCCCTTTTTCAACTTTTGCATTTGTAGGAGTTGCCACTTTGTATGCACACTTTTTTCCCGCCAATTTTACATTGTATTTCTAATTATTTATTTTTATTATTATATTTTTTCAAAATTTATACTTTTTATAAATAAACTTGGTTTTATTGCTTTAAATATACACATAAAATTGGATTTAATTATAGTTGCCCATTGGCCAAAATCTTAAAATCGCAAGGTGTATGTTCACTTTATTCCCTCACTGTATGTATACGTAAACAAACACCAGCTGAGCGGCATTTATACCCTCCTAAGAGTATATCTCATTGTAGAAGAATACAGGCAGACGCGTTGACACAGCTGATGGGGCAATGAACTGTCAAAATATTTTTTGTAATTGAAAATTTTGAATGAAAAAATTATTCAAATTTTTAAAAAAAAATCAAAAAACTCATATTTAAACAACCTCCGATTGATGTCGTATAAGAAAACATACAAATCTACTTATATTTGAAAATCATTTTAAAATTTTTGACATATCAATGATCCCAAGCGTTAATGCATCTACTTGTATTCTTCTACCATGGTATATCCGCCGGGAAGAGAGTCGCACATTTATGTTCTCCCAATTTTTAACTCCCTGAACCTAATTGTGAGCGTAGCCTAAATTTACGCTCAATGAAGGCAAGCGTGTCTACTCATGCCTGTCCCCAGAGTACGAAATTAAACTATATCAAGCGTTTGCAATCGTTTCGTTCTGTATATGTAATCGAAACAAAGCTGATATTAAAATAACGGGACTTGTTTCTTATTTTGTACTTTTTGTGTAGATGAGTGGATATAAAAACAAAACTGAAATATACTCTGCTTGATGACCCAACATTGGAAACGAAATAGTACAATACTCATTGCAAACGTTTCCCTGTATATAAACTCGTTACAAATAGAGTACAAAGAAATATTAAGATAAGTTCATTACTTTTTATTAATTTATTTGACCATCATACAATGTAAAAAAGTCCACAAATCCAGTCCAATATTAAGAATAATAACTCTTAATGTCCCAGTCATCATTTCACACAACAAACGTTGGCAAACGTTTCCCAACGATTCATTAGAAAACGATACAGCTCGGCAACTCACAGCCGAAGTACATTGAGGCAATCGTATTGTTTGTGTACTTCTGTCACTGAAATTTATGTGGTTTTGTTTCAAGAACAAATCTATTGAAAAATTTTAAAAGTTTGTGTCTTCGTGAGAGGTGTACCTTAATCGTTTCGCTTATTTTCGTTCGCTACCTGACCCTGATCTAAACATATAAAGTTAACCCAATGGATATATGAAACTAAGTGTATTTCAATTGGATTTATAGATCCATTCAAATAGATTTATAGATTATTAGAAATAGATCCATTTTTATCTTAATTTTCTCTTCTCCATACAAGAAATACACAATAGGACAGTTCAGAATATTAACAATATTTATTTTGTAAACCATTGGGTTTCAATTTTTTCTTCATTGTCGTGAAATTAAAATAATAATTTCAAATGCCTTTATTTAAAATTTTGATTCTCAGTAACGTTCTTTTTTCTCCTTCTTCTCATTTCAGGTTCGTGATTTGGTCGAAAAATGTACCTGTCCATCACAGTTCCCCATGGTCCGTGTCTCCGAAGGCAAATATCGTATTGGCGATACAAAAGTTTTAATATTTGTACGGGTAAGTATGACGAATAAAAAAATTCCCAACCATCTACACACATATTTACATAATAACCGTATGCTAAAATTCCACTGCGAAAATATGCAAAAACGGACGGCGAGTGTTGAAGAAATAAAATTAACGCCACAAATGATTTCTCTTCCCTGCAACAATTCATCAATTGTTTTATTGACGTGTCGATTGTCGGCGTTGGCGGTGTCTTTTTGCTGGCACAATCGTAAAGACAGTGATGTCAATATCTTAAATCGCGTCATTTTGTCTTCTTCTTTTTTTTTTCGTTTTCGGTTTTGTCTTTCTTGTCACCTAATTGGACAGCACGGTGTTAAGAAATATACATATATATATGTATATGAGCATTTGTTTAAAATGTCCCAATGCAAGCCATTAAACTCCCCTCACTCAATTCGGACAATGTAAACAAATAAAAAGTATAAATTTATTTTGGCATACTGCATTACTAACTGCTTTTGCGTAAACACCTCACGAAATTGTCATCATTATCATCGGCATCCAACAACAGCGGCAAATGGCGGCAACAAGGTGGCACAACACAATTCGTTTTCGACATAATTTCCAACAAAAGATCCTATATTCAAGTGTCGCTATTATTTTATTGTAAATATTCGATTAATAGCGGCTGGAGTGGACTGGAGGATATTTTGCATAGCGGCCACTTCACTAACTAACTCCGTTCGAGTCCATATTCCGTTTCCAAAAAAAAAAAAACAGAAACGCCATACGACTATGGGGTAATTGAGTACTAGTCGTAACTTTACATGGTGTCCATTAATACAGCAGTCAATACAACAAACAACGATCCGTGGTGGGGTTCAGTGATTTTATTAACACAATAACGACGACTGACATCGACGGACTCCTCGCTTCATACATCCCCACATACATAAAGAGAAACGAAAAAAAAAATCCCTGCCTAATATGGAAATTTTTGTCGTTTAGTTCGATGACGACGAGGACAATGTTGGCACTTTTGATTGTTTGGGCACGAAAACGATAACAAATTTCTTAAATGTTCGGCATGAATATAAACAACTAAAATGTATGTTCCTCGATCTTAAATGCCAACGAATTGTAATTTTTATGGAGCTTATTTGTTTCGATTGTGTTTTTTTTCTTTTGTAATATCGAGGACAATTGACAGAAAACGATTGAGGTTTGAAGTGACACATCCTTGTGTGCAAAAAAATGGAGTTTATTATGAAGTTATCTGATGCGAAGTTTGATTATAGCTTTGTTTTTAATGGTAAAACTAGCAGCAAATCGCCCTAACAGAACTACATTGCTTAAAAAGTACGGCAACGTAAAACTCTTCAAAATTTCAGAAATATGTGGCAATCCTTAAATGTAACATGGACTCTCCATGGTAGAAGAATACAGGTATCTAAACAGCTGCAGGGGCAATGAACTGTCAAACCAATTTTGGAATTGAAAAATTTGAATGAAAAGTTATTCAAATGTACAAAACTCAAATTATAATAACCTCTGATTGGCACCGTATAGGAAAACATTTAAAAACTACTTATGTTTGAAAAAAAAAATTGAAAAATTTTTGACATATCAATGTTCCCTAGCGTTAATGCATCTACCTGTATTCTTCAAGCATGGTACTCTCTTTGACACAGCTGATCAGAAGATAAACTTTCACAATGATTGTAATGGTCGAAATTGCAGAACAAATTGTAAACAAAACTTAAATGAATTCTTAAATTTCGTTTTATTTTGAAAATCTCGGATAAGAGGTCGCGTGTGACCGAGAAAATTATTTCATTTTAAAATTATTTTAAAAAAAGACAGCAGCAACTCTCCAAGTCCCAGTCTGCAAATAAAAATTAAAATCACACAGGCAAAATAGTCGGCTCATATGCAAAATTCCAGCGTTGCCAGCTGAAAATTTAATAAGCTAGAAAATGCAACTATGGAAAATCTGTAGGGATATGTAGGTGCGTATAAAGCAAACACAAATAAACATAGAAAAACTAGAAACCTGGCATTGTTTTTGGTCCTATTAAATTAATAATAAAACAAAGAGGAAAAGTCTACCAAACACCGACCAAGGCCCATTAAACAGGTCGTGTAAGTCACAATTGAGATCGAAATACCCTCATAATGTGAAAATGTTTCTTTACGTTTTCAGACGTTTAATTAGCATTCATTTTAACAAAGCGCGTGAAATCAAGTGGTCTTATGGGATGACCTAATGGTTAGGCTAAATACTAAAAGTCGATTAATCAAATGTCAACTTACAAACCCCTATAACGTCAGTTATTATAGTTGCATCGCTACCATGGCAGAAGAAGAAGTAGATGCATCAACGCTTGGAAGCATTGATATGTCAAAAAAATTTAAATGTTTTTTCAAATATAAGTAGATTTTTATATGTTTTCTTATACCACGTCATTCGGAAGTTATTATAATTCGCGTTTTTCAACAATTTTTACAAATTTAAATAATTTTTCATTCAACATTTCCAATTCTAAAATTGGTTTGACAGTTCATTGTATTCTTCTACAATGATCGCTATTAATTACAGGAGCGTTTTGGAGCGCACCCCAATCCGCACTAGATACCCTACTCAACTTAAAACCCTTAAGTCTATTTGTAGAAGAACAAGCTGCTAGGTGTGCCCTGCGACTGAATGAAGTGGGGCAATGGCGGAGTAAGTCCTTTACACAATCCGTCATTTTCAAGTATGTGGAGAACGTAGGAAATCAAGCTATAGCCATTGATTATATATCACCGTGGCAAAGCTTTGAATTTAATTGATATCAATATACCTAACAGAGACGTCTGGACCCGCAACATTCCACCTTTTAATGGTATAGCTATCTATACTGATGGTCATAGATGGAAAGTGGAATGGGAGCTAGGGTCTTCTGTGAAAGCCTAAGTATCCAAAGATCCTTCCTGTCAGGAAGGTCATAAAGCTACTGGCAAACATAATCAATGAGCTGGATGGACCGGTGTCTATATATGTCGATAGTCAACGGGACCTGATGGCTCTAAAATCTTTTACAATTAAATCTATGGCAGTTTTGGATCGCAGGAATGCTCTGGAAAAGGTTAAGTCGTATGTCAAACTCTGTTTGATCCCTGGACACTGCAACATATCTGGCAATGAATTGGCCAGACACGAAGCTGAGTCAGTAGATCTAGAGATTGAGAGAGCTCAGTGAAGCCACATTTATCCCACTTCTTCCAAATACTACTTCTTCTTGACAAATCAATGTTCCCAAGCGTCTACCTGTATTCTTCTACGCAAATCGAAGGTTGTTATAGTATGTATTTTTCAACAATTTTTACAAATTCCAATAATTTTTCATTCAACATTTTCAATTCCAAAATCGGTTGGACAGTTCATTGTCCCAGAAGCTGTGTCGATGCGACTACCTGTATTCTTTTTGTCATGCTATTGACTTTTTTTACCAGTATTACTGACCAAATATAGACAACCATTTTTCCTAAAGACATTTTCTATGAGCTTATAGTAAGTCAGTAGTCCTTACGAACCATATGGAGGCATTGGAACCACTAAATCACCAGTCTATGCTGGGAACACTGGTACAATCGATTAAATTTCACAAATAACTTTATTTTCTCTCATAAGTAGATGAATTCTGTTAGTTGACAGATATATTTGTTATTTAGTTTTATTGTTTTTTATTTAATATTTATTTATTTTATTTATATTTATCTCGATGCAGACACTATCGCTCTGTTCGTCACAGTTGAGTTCGTGAGCACGTTTTACTCACCCTCTCTTTGTTTATTGTTATTCATAGTAACGCAATCAACTTTCGCAAGTTGCGTTCCCTACATCGTAATTGGAACAAGACCAAAATAGTTCTAAGGTATAAAATGTTAACCATTCGTAGTACATGTCTATGTTTACTGAAAAGAAGAAGTCTCGAATAAAGAATACTAATACTACTAACTCTTCAATTTCATGTTCTAGAAATGAACTAAATACTTTTTTCTTCAGTTGATTAGCCACACATCAAATTTCCCGCCTATCGATATGAAATTATTACAAATCGACATCATTTATATGGATATATGTGTACATTTGTATTAAAAAAATGTCGCCATAATGGTGTCTAATGTTGAAAAGTGTCAAACAAATTGCTTGGGATTTGGAATCCGGGTGTCACAAAGCAAATATTTTCAATTTTTTATTCAATATTTGATATTGTTGTTGTGGATTAAGCGGCTTATCTTTACAACACATCAACTTAGGTATTAAATATTGTTGCTTTCACTTCCATGGCAAATGATTTGGATTAAATTCGCTCACAACAAACCCACCACCCCATCCTGACGCCGTACTCCGCTGCAATGACTATTGAATTCTCCGAAATCCATGTCTTTCCTACAAAGTGTGCAATTTAATAATTCATGACTACCGGTTTTCCTAGACTGTCAGCCACCACAAAATGCCAATCAATCAAAGAAATGAAATCGGCATCTTAGATAACAAAACAAGATGTGCATCCCTACAAAACACCGAATTGACAGATGCGCCAGTGCTCTAGATTGTATACCCCAGCCGGTGGGGATGGGAAAGCTGGATAAATGCACTGGAAATCTATTAACTGACACCAGCCAAATTGCACATTATCCGTACCGATGATGATGATGATTTATTACAGAATAATTACTTGTCAAATTATCTGGACGCAATAATCTTGTACGGCGTATTCCTTTTTTCGTTTTGTTTAGAAGACAAGGTAATGTGAGACCACACCGTCATGTGGCGCATGGCACACTCGCCTATCTACCATCGATGATCATTCAATTCCATTTCGCGCGCGCAGGAAAAATTAATTTCTATTACAAATTTATTAAATTGCAATTTTTCTTAATTTCCTCTTTCATTTTCTCCTTGCAGATATTACGTTCACACGTTATGGTGCGTGTTGGCGGCGGCTGGGATACACTCTCACACTATTTGGATAAACACGATCCTTGCCGTTGCAAGGCACAGCATCGTTCATCGGTGGCCGCACGTTTGATACCGCGAGCCAATCAGCAAACAAATGGCATTGAGCTGCATAAAGCTCAGGTGATATTCGAAAGGTAAGCTAAATGTTTTTGTTGTTATTATTTTTTATGTATGATTTCCAGCACCAACATCTGGATAGGCTGCTGTTGCATGCCGGTCGGCTGCTTGACTGGTGTGCCTGCCATAAAGTATGATGAAGCAAATTTGTCGTATAAAATATTTATAGATTTTATTTATGCGCATGTAAAGTTCAGGGTTGGGAAAACTAAGAATATAGTATGGCTTTATTTCATAAAATTATTGAAAATATGTTCCTTAAAATCGAAGTTTTTACTTTGAAACTATTAAGGTGAGAATACATAAAACGCTTTTTTGAATGTCTTAAGTCATCGGCTGTCTTCTTCGTAGAGGAACAATGGAGTTTCAAGTTGACTTAGTTCGATTTTGGCCCTAGGCTCTTTTGTTCATTTCCGAAGAAGCCAGCCGATGACTTAAGCCAGCCAGATAAGCGCTTTAGCGAGCCCTATTTTCATAGAAAGAATATAATTTAATCAAAACTGTTTATTGTTTGTTGTGTGAAATATATATAAAATTAAATTTTGCGTAAAAGTCATTACCATAAATGCCATAAATCTGGTTGGATTAAGCAATAAATCTTGATAATTGGATTTAATCCAGATAAAATTTTATAACCACGCGCTATAAAGAAACGTTTTTCAGCAAAAATTTTTTGACTTTATGTCTCCGATTTGTAATTATGAAATTGAAAGTAAATTCCAAAGCTACTCGGAATTTCTGACGCTGTTATCCTTTACAATTTAGCATGGCAGAAGAATACAGGTAGATGCATCAACGCTTGGGAGCATTGATATGTCAAAAAAATTTAAATGTTTTTTTCAAATATAAGTAGAATTTTATATGTTTTCTTATACTACTTTTCATTCAATATTTTCAATTCCAAAATTGGTTTGACAGTTCATTGTCCGAGCAGCTGTGTCGACGCGTCTACCTAGCAAGAAATGTCATTCAATTTCGTCCTTATACTATGTTCACATTGGAGTTTGAACTACGTTATTTGCATAATTCCATTTTTTATACTTCTTAATTTTTTTTATTTTAAAGAAATTAGAACGAAAATACATGAAATACCCACAGATATGAAAATCTATACATAATTGAAGCTCAATTGAGTTGAAAATACTATTGTCAAAATTATTTTTGTCAATCACAATTTTAAGCCTTTTTCGTTTCTGGGGGGGTAGCACACTTTCATCGTAGATCTGAGGGTGATTTGAATCGAATAGTGTGTAAAAATTCTCTTTCGATCAGAACATTTTTTGTGGGAAATTAAGTAGATTTTTGATATTGAAAGATTAATAGCATGTTCCAAGATATCGAAAGAAAATTAGTGCAAAGGAAAGCTAGTCACTCTCTTTCGTATCAAAATTTTCTCCATTAACATTCGTGACTCAGTGACATACTTTTGAAAAATTAATCGCGAAATTTAACGAAAAAAGCGCCAAAATGACAGAATTGAATGAGAAAAGCAGTAAAAAATACAACCATACGTTACTTTGCTCTGTCTGAAGTGACAGTTCAGTTGTAAACAAACAAATTGTAAATAAACAAACAAAATAGCATTCCGAGTTTCCCAGTGAACTTGTTCAATCAAAACAATATCTATGTTGAAATAATTCTCCTGAATTATTATCAGATGACAGCAAACACACAAGTGACTGATTTTGACTTTTGTATTCGCACGTGCGAAAGAAAATGATAGTTGGACGCAAGATTACACAGAAATCCTTAGGTTTTCGTTCGCTTTGATGTTCGTACAATTTTTCGTTCTGATGGATTTTAGTGGGATAGAAATCAGCTGTTTGGTGTGTAAAAGATGTGTGAACGTGTTTTTTCGATTTCGTGGCTCAAAAGAACGAATAGAAAGAGATTCACGAACCATGTGAACTTGGCATTAAGCCAGTGGATGAAAACAGAAACGTTGAGATAAATAAAATAAAAAAACCTTAGTTACTGTTTTATTGGCGCCCTGAGTGAAATGATAGAACACGGCAAGTCTATCGCAAAAACTGAGAGCCGCGTCATTTTTAGGAGTTTTTACAACTCAGAAATAACTAATGTATATTAACTTTTCTTGGAGGATCATGAGCTAGTTCATAGGAACCTTAGGTAAACTAATTCATTGGAACTATTCGTGGAAAAAACTAACCGAACTACATGCAATTTTTTTTAACATCTTCTGTGTTAAACTACTAACTTCAGTCTCTTAAGAATTTGTGTTTAAACTCTTATCTTAACTTTTATCGTAAAATTCAACTACTGACCTATTGTACAATAGGTTGTACAACTCCGCCCCTTTAGCCTTACTTGCAAATAAATTGCAATTGAGTATGACAAATGGCTTGGTTTCTAGTCAGCACCGCCACATTAGGCTTTATCTTCATAGTCATCATTAGCAAACGCCAGCAAACAGGCAGCAGACACATCATGATCTTAATAACTGATCAATATAATTTGTCTTCCTTGATCAATTGAAAAAATAAACAACAACAATAAAAATAAAACGCTTGATAAATCGATTGATTGCCAACATTAATTGGGGAGTGTCTTATTGAGTTGGGGAAATGCTTGTTTGCAAATAGAGGCAATGAGCGCCCAAGCAAACACCATACAACACACACAGAATGTAAACTTAATTTACCCGTTGACAAATTAGCATTTTTAATTGCCGTGATCTGGAACAGCTAGCTCCGAACAATAACAGGTACTGGAACGTAAAATTTGTATGGCGGTAATCTGATATTATTCACATACCAAAATGGATACAATTTGAATTTGACAACCTGTAATTAGTCGCAAGGTGACAAGCCATCAGCGTGTAATAATGTGCGGTAACGTTTTGTTCGGACTTTCAGTTTTTTTTTCTGTTTTTGTCAGATCGACATTGTTTTGGCATTTCTCTAATCTAGAATGGCAATAAATAGTCGAGCTGAAAATGGCGTTTAATTTAGCTTAGGTGACAGTTTTTTTTTCTATTAAGGCGTTGCTGATAGATTTATGGTCTAATGGGTTTTCAATGTAAATAAAAGGGAGGGAGAAAAAGTGAAAACCGCCAGTGAATTAATTTAAAAATAGGCGTCAACTGTAAATTAATGCGTTAGATTGCTGCATGGAATATTTTTGCATAGTAAGATGGGTAGATAGTGATTGTAGAACATTGATTTATTAAATTCAACAGTATTTCTTAACAATGAAGGTCTATAATAACTAATAGAGATTTATGTGCAAAGAGAAGAGAGCGAGAGAAAAGTGTACCCTGTAGGAAACGTGAATGGAGAATAACTATTAAATTACTATTGACTTTGTCACTAGTATTACTGACCAAGTGTAGACAAGCAATGACCTTTTCCTACAGACATTTTGTATGAGCTTGTCATTCGAAAGTCGCTAGTGGCATTGTCAATAGAAAGTAAGTAGTTCTTATGCGCCTATATGAAGACATTGGAAACAGTGGGTCAGTAGTCCATGAGGGGTCATATGAAGAAATTGGAACCAGTGAATCAGTAGTTTCGAGTTTATTATTTTACTCTTTAACCAGCATTCGAGAAACTATTTAGTAAATTTCATAACTAGTTGAATTGTATTGTGAAGTTACTTCAAGAAAAGACTTGCAAATTTGATTCAATTGTATGTTTAACAAAGAAAATCTTAACTTTTTTTTAAAATTAAAAAGGCAAAATGTGTGTATTATGCCTTTTCGGAATTGTCACTTTAGTGTTTACTTCTAGACTGCATTTGACAAGTTTTACTTGTCTGCTTGAATATTTTTCTTTGATTTGCCTTTGAAAAGCGGTTCCCAATGTTTTACCCACTATTTCACTAAAAGTTGATGTGAACTATTTTAAATCTAAGTTTAATAGAATTGAGCTCGAAACCTTTGTTGGTTTTATATTTATTTATTATTTTCGATATTTCATCCTCCAATTAGGGACAAAACAGATGACCGCAAATCAAGGTCGAAGGCCGTACCTGGGGAGATTTTGTATATTTTTGTTATATGTTTAAATATTATTGTTCCTGATGTTGTCTTCCATCGGAGGACGAAAAATCTAAAATAATATATAAACAAAAAAACAACAAAGACCTCGAACTCAATATTATTTACCTTTAATTTGAAATAACCTAAAAATTAGGAAGTTTGGGAAAACTTCATAATTTACTTACAAAATATGCCGGCATCTCTTAAGGTACGCTCACACTGAGCAAATATTTGTCCAAATTTATTTTTCCATATTTAGTTGAACAAATGTGAAATTCATACAGAGTTCATTTGATGTTCACATGATAGTCAAATATTTGGCAAAATTTGTTTGGTCAAACAGTCACCAAACAGTGTCAAATACTGTGATGGGAAAACATGTCTGATATGCGTTCACATTCGTAAAATATATTTTCCCCATAAATAATATGTCAAAATTTTTAAAATGTTGTTTTTTTTTCCAAAAATAAGTGGATTTTTATATTTTCTTATACGACGCAAATCGGAGGTTACGCTTTTTTAAAATAATTTTTACAAATTTGAATAATTTTTCATTCAAAATTTTCAATTTCAAAATTGGTTTGACAGTTCCTTATGCCGTCATCTGTGTCAATGCGACTACCTGAATTCTTCTACCATGATATGAATCAAATTCGCGGCAACTCTTATACAGTGTTCACATACAGTAAAAAACTATGACACATGTATTCCTTTCAAGATGATGATTTGAAGAACAAGAACAATAGAACAAGAGTGTTATTGGGATAACTGGGGAATGATAGCAAAATGTTGGTACTACGCTAGGTTCACAATCAAGGCCCACACTTTTAAAAGATTTTCAAACTGCACCAACCATTTTATATATCTGTATCAAGAAAGTATGAAATGCTTAATTCATCAAATTGAATTAAGCCAGTGATCAGTTGATTGGAAACCTTTAGTTAATTGAACTGATAAAAAAAATGCAAAGTATATAAGTTCTAGTAACTTCCCGAATCCAGTCAATCACGAGCATCTCCTCGGCGGAGACCGTAGAGCGCAGATTCCACCAGGCGGTGGTTGTTGTTGGTTAGCTCACTTTGATACATACGAGACTCTGCTCTCATTGGAAACAATTGTGAATATAGTAGTAGTAATCTACAAAGATCCTCGGTGGTCACCGCGATCCTCTGTGATTGCAAGAACCTCGGGGTTTACTTGTCGTTTAGAAGTTGAAAAGAAAACACTAAGGTCTCTGCGCCACCCCAAATTACACAAGGTGATTTTGTTTATTGTTAAGGAAAGAAACATATATAATAAACCACCAAACTTAGATAAACTTAAAACTAATACCATTGTGTTTTCTTTTTATTTTCTGTTATGTCACCCCACAATTCCCCACATACACACAAAGTATTCCACCATTTTACTGTCATTACATAATCTCTGTCATAAATTTTTAAATATGAGGCTCAGAGGAAGTCTTTCTTTTTCTTGTCCTTACTGTAATTCTATTATATCAAAGAAATTTGGTATTGCACTTATCTTTACTTTCTAGTCCCGGGAAATATATTTCAATACCCAATTCTTCGCGCACTCAATCTATTCTGCCCAGGCCATTTCCTTTACTACACGTGTGTATTAAATGTTGCACCGATATGACCGTATCAACTTACTCCATTTCAATTGGCTTAAAACTTAAGCTGCGGCATTATACCACTTATTTTTTATTGAACGATTAACTTTACACTAAACTAATCCTTATTTTCTTTTCTTCATATCCTCTTTCAGATCACCACCAACAGCACGCAAAAGTATTTCCAATCACAACAATGCTGGCACCACAGTAAACAACGTTAATACCTCATTAGCCAACAACAACCATTCGGCTTCGTCATCATCGTTGCTTGCACCCGTTTATGGAGGTCTCAATAAAAATCGCAGCCCTAGTCCAACTATACAACAACGTAAATTCTATACATCACCACAACATCAAGAGCTGGCCACTGGCAACAACACTTCTCCAGCCTCGTCGCTCACATCACCTAGTGTTGTGCGCCGTTCTATGTCACCAAGTCCCAGGCGTTTAATTGATATGCGTAAGAAACAAACTTCCTTGGATTCGTATAGTAATGGCCCGAAATCATTGCCCATCACCGTGGAACACGACGGCAATAGTGGTCATGTCCAGTATGATTCCTTTGATCAGACATCGTCGACGGGACATGCGGCCGGACATCATAACTCTTCCGATACAAGTGCAAATAGTAATAAATTTGAAAATATTAGCGATAATGGAAGTGAAATCAGTGATGAAGGATATCGCAGTTTGGGTGTAATTCAATCGAATGCTCAAAAGCGCGAGTCCATACATAGCCAAGCATCAATTGATGACGCAGAAAATAATGGTGAGTATGAATGGAAAGCATGAAATAATTGACTCCTCTGTAGAAAAAGGGTAGATTGCCAGCTGAATGTTGTAACAGTTTGTTATGTATTCAGTCTTCGTGACATATGTCTCCAAATACTTTTCCCTTAAAGTTTGACAACCATCTTCTGAATATTAGATGTCTATTATTCTTGCATAAAATAAAAGTCAAGCAAAGCCCTAAATATCTATGTGACAGATTAAAATTTTTTCCATCTTGATGGGGCAAAAAATTGCTCCGTTTAAACGTCGTATCATTATTTCTGAATAGTAGTTTTTCATAAGTTCCGATCGTTTTGAAATGATTGACACATCAAAGTTGGAAAATTAATAGCGAAATCAAGCAAAAAGCGCCAAAATGACAGATTTATGCGAAAAAAAGCAATAAAAATACAACCCTTCGTCAGCTGGCTCTGTCTGAACTAAGAGTTCAGTTGTAAACAAACAAACAAAATAACATTCCGAGTTTCCCAATGATTTTTTTCAATTTACTTTTGTTTTTTAAAAAAAAGTAATATTTTTTAGCCCTATATTTTATGGATGATGTGGAGGAGATTCAAAGTGTACCTCGATGGCATTTAAGAAGGTGGCCAATGCCTAGAAGGAGTAATAGATATCGTCTGCATAACCAAGAAATGTTACCGCTTGTTGCTGGGGACTTCTATAAGAAAAGTGTTCGATCAATTGTTGTTTCTAGCTCCGTCCTCTTTTATTTTCTGATATTTTCTTTTTTGTGCGTGACTTTTGATCAGCCCAAATCTGTGAATAATAACGCCGGTCTGACAAATAGATCATAAACAGAGTTTTCTTATCTTATCACTTTCCACTCTGCAATTGTGGGAGGAGGACCCATGGTATTAAACTTAAACACACATTTTATCCAGTGGCACTCCTCTATTAAACTCAGGTTTCTCCTCCATATAATCAGCTAGTGCCCGCATCTCTGTAGTACAGTATTTTTTGCTTACCTGCACAATCAAAAATTGCACGACATCTTGTGCAGCTATGCCCAAAATGCAGGTAGCTTCATTGCATTTATCTGCACAATGAAGCAGGTATCTTTAACTTTACTTACGTGCACAAAAAGTGCAGGTATCTTTAATTTTCTATTCGTGCACAACAAAGCAGCAATCTTTATTTTACTTACGTACGTGTAATAGCCAGCCAAAATCAATGGGGAATCTTTTAAAGTTTATAATGCATTTATTAAGTGGTTTAATTATATTAAACACAACAATTTAACGTAAAATAAATAATTCATAATTCTCATGAATTGTCTAGACAAGCAATGCTCACCATTAGCGTCATCGAAACTTCAAACAAAAGAGTGTTCTCTTTTAGCTCATCAAAAGTAGTTAAGCAATGGATAGACAAACTCAGAGAGACAAATTCACAACATATGTATTTGAGCATCAGTGGTGTTTTATCCAGCATAACCATCTTTTAGTGTGGGAGAGGAAGCGAGAATATGTTTTTAATGCATGCTCTTTTCTTGTGTTGTTATTGTTTTTGCGAATACCAAAACAAAAACGAAGTGGTAGTTTTTAGTGTCTTCTTTGAGTTTGCAAAAATTTTTCTTGTGCAGATAAATACAACTTTTGTAACCAAATTAAAAAAAATTACCAAATTTTCGAGGCAGGAATGTCCAATGTGCAGCTATCGATTGGGCACTTAAATACAATTCAAATAAAGGGATTCAGAAAAAAATGGCATAAAAAAGTTTTTTGGTCTGCAAAGGCCAATGCGCAGCTAATGTTGATGCAGGTAAATAGAAACCACTGTAGATGATTTTTTCGTGCTGAAATTGAGTAAATAAGAATTATATTTGTTTTTGACATATTATAATTGTATTTATCATTTCTATTCACCTTTTGGTTTTTCATTTTCAATGATAGCAATATATATGTTGAAACAATTCTCCTGAATTATTATAAGACGACTAATTTTATCAAGTAACTGATTTTGACATTTGTGTTCGCATGGGTGCGAAAGGAAAAATATTGTGGAACGCTTACACTGAAATGCTTTCGCTTTCGTTCGCTTTGATGTTCGTACAATTTTTCGTTCTAATGGATTTCAGTGGGACGGAAATCAGCTGTTTATCGTGTAAAAGGTGTGGAAATAGATGCATTTTTACAGAGATATGGCAAGCTTTTTGTAAAAGTAACTGGTAGTCCAAAGAATTTGTAATTAGTTTCGTGAAATAAACCTATATTTCAGTTCATCAGCATAAAATAAACGATTTGCGTTATTCATTTTTGACATAAATAAATGTTGCTGTTATTGTCATATTTTCAATATAACATATGGCAACATGAATTCAGTAAACTTCATGTTAAAAGATAAAGGGAAGATGGTCTTACTTTTTGCTTATCGGACAGTTCACACTTACATGAAAAATTATGATGTAGGTATTCAGCTAATAAATTAATAAATTAATCTTTTACTCATTACCAAACTCTAAATTCTTGTATTCCCCCTTTTTTCCCATTCCAGTGCGTCACGATCAAACATCAAGTGATTCTCAATTCTCGCCCAGTGAAGACATTACCAATACATCACAAAAAACTCCTGAAACCATGGACAATAGCTACACAACACAAAATGACGACGACTTACAGCAGCATCATCATCACCATCATGACATTGACAATGGTCCACAATCATTGCCAGCCATCTTAAATGCCGAACACATTCAAGTGGCATCAAATAAATTTGAGCAATCCGGTATCTACATTACCGATGAAGAAATTACCGTTGATGTCTCGAGCAATACAGGCCTGAAGAAAAGTGGTTTTGCCAATAAGATTTTTGCTGGCAATGGCGATGATACCACAGATGCCAGTAAAACGGCTTCCAATAAGAATTTGTCAGGTAGTAAAAGTAAAATTCCCTACTCGCCAATGGCAACCCCGCAAAGACGTCGTAGCATCGATAACAGCACATGTAATACAGGAAGTCTACAGGATTTACACTCACGTACAGGTCTACCGGTCATGAATCGGGCCAAGCCTGTCTACAGATCAATGAGAAAGCCACCAGCAGCCATAAGTGCCATCAGTGAGGCTAGGAAAAGTAAATCACCAGCACCTGCAGCGGCCGCACCAACAGCTACAGTGAAGAACATTAATAATACCTGGAGTGGTAGAAATGCCCTGACTGGAGGGGGACGTAAACGCCCCACTTTGTCAAGTGATACCTTTACACCCAATACTGGCACTGCACCATCGGCATCTCCATTTGAACGCAATTCAAAGACCAGATCATCGCATATAATTTATGATAGCAATGGTCGCAGGGTAAAGGGTTGCACCGCATCATTGACCACATCGCCAACCAAGAATCATGCAAATTCCCCATTGGCCCAACAGCTGTTGGAAGCTGCCAGCTCGGCGAAAAATGATGCCCAAATATTGGAGAAAATGAAAACATTGCTTCTACAATATTCGACCAGTAATACCAAGTTGCAGGGTGGAGCGAATGCAGCACGCCCACAAAATCCCAAGAAACCAGCCTATGATGATTTCACCAGTGCCTGGGTCCATAGTAATGGTAATTTGGAACGTTCCGCCAGTTGTTCACCACCCACAAAGGCACCATCGAAACGTAGCTCTGCCGCTTCGTCATGTGAAAGCAATGCCTCGCGGGATATGTCCGTAATTGTATCGCCCAGACGTGAACGTGGCATGTCTAAGATTCCAGCGCCAGTACGCCAACATACTGAACTTTACTAACATAAGATTATGTCACCACAAATTCGTCGAATTGTGGGATTTCCAAAATTGCCTAGAAAACCTTAGCATTTAAGACAAGAGCAACTTCAGAAGTGTAATAATAACAACAACAACAATATAGAATAGTAATGATTGAGTGCGAGAAAAAAGGGTCAACGTGAGTCCAAGTTCAGTTGGGGACATTGTATCATTGCATTTTCAAATGAATTTTGTAGTGAGAACATGGCATAAGCCTTGTAGTTGGCAATGCGGCCTCATAACTGTAATGAACTTTTATCTCTAGTTTAAAGGGTATTGGAATGAATGTGTTCAGAATAGAATAAAAAAATAGAGGTAAATAAGATTAAAATTGTGAAAAGTTATGATCTTTGATTGAATGTAAATAGAACGGCGTTTAGCATTAAAGAGAATTTTAGAGCTCGTTTAGACTACTAAATCCACTCGATTTCAAATTTCAATTCCGTAGCACATATGTCACGTAAATCGTATTAATAATAAGCTTGGAATTGACATTTGAGATTGAATGGGTTTTAATACTCTCCTTATCCAAGTTATGTTTCTTTATTGATCATTTCCAACCTAGCAGTTCTTAAAATTTATGATTTCTAAAATTTCATACGAATTTATCAAAAAAAAGTAGACATCTTCTGCAGTAGAAAAACAAAATTACCTAGAGACTGCCATTATAAATTTCTTTGATAAAAACCCACATCGTATATGAATAACTTTTCTATCCTGCATTTATTAAAAACAAAACAAAAGATCCAGCATTTTAATAAGGTTCTAAGAAAACAAACAATTTACCATAAAGCCTCCTAAATCAACACAAACAACTCCCGATCAGGTCAAAAGAGATTGTAATCATAGAAATTAATGCCTCTGGTTTTATTTGCAAGACAACATTTCAAAAAAAAACACCAATTTAAACATTTTTATATGAGAGACCTAGTATACATACATTCATATTACTACTTTTATATTTATATATAAAAAAAATAATCCATATATATCTGCGGATTTTAATCGGACGAAATAGTATTTGAAGAAAAAAGACAAAAAAGGATAGTTTTCTAGTATTTTTAAAGGAGAAGTAACACAGGCCGAGCATACGTACTTGTATGATGACGGGGGGGCAAATGACGGTGTCGTTGAGAGAGAATTACACTACGTTTACATTAAAGCTCTTTCCCACAATAACTGGTCAATTCCGATAAATTTAATGTATTTTTCCTTGGTTATTTTTATTGTGATTGGTCAATTATGCCACAAAGTGCTGCAATCATAACGTGGCCTTAGATTCCACATATTAAACATTTTTCATGAGAGAAGTTCGTATGTAGGGATCCCCTTAGGGTGGGAATACATAAAGCCCTTATTTGGCTGGCTTAAGTCATCGGCTGGCTTTTTCGTAGAGGAACAAAGAAGTTTTAGGTTGATTTAGTTCGATTTTGGCTCTAGGCTCCTTTGTTCATTTCCGAAGAAGCCAGCCGATGACTTTAGCCACCCAAATAAGCACTTTATGTATTCCCACCTTTACTCCCGGAATTCCCGTTCTCTCGCATGAAAAAATCCAGTTTGTGTATATTCGGCGTTTATTATGGCATCTGCATTTGCCTTCCACCCTAAGAAGTAGACATCTTTTTTATACATCACTCTGTAGAAATAATTGAAAATCTAAATTTTAAGAAAAGAGAAACAACACTATTGTAGTATTACAAAAAAAAGAGAATAGAGAAATTTATTTTTTCACATGGTATAGAAATAGAGATAACAGTATAATTAGTAAAGAAAAAAAAAAAACATGGGCTAATTAAGAAACAAAAATCCTGCAAATCGTATTAAATTTTTGTAAATTACCATTTAATTTTTTTATGTTTTTGGTTTTGCGACAACACAAGGCTTTAAGTGTATAAAAACAAGGAAATGAATAATTAGATTTATTTTTTCAAAAACATTATTAAGAGGCACTGGCATGAAAGGTTTTCGTGTAGACATAATTTATTTTATAAAATTGTCAAGATAATTCAATTAGAAAGACGAAAATTACAACATTCACATCAAATCAGGTCGTTGGACCATGCCATGATTGCGACATGAATAGTCATGATTTCTGCACATGAGTTGGGTGAGTGTTGGATATTGGGTTGTGAGATGATTAGAGAACTTCGTTTTTTGTTTAGAGACACTTTATAATTTTAAGCTGAAACTGTTGACTACGAAATAACAAAAAACCCAAAATTAGATCCCAACAACAAAAACAACACTTATTTTTTAAGCACGTATCTATGTCTCAAGACAAAAAAAGAGTATATTTTTTAATAATTGTTTTCTTTCTTTTTTCTTTTTTTACCCCACTTAGATTTAAAATGAAAACTAAATTTAATTTTGGTGCTTAATTTAATGACATATATAATGTATTCAAAATGAAAATCCTATAATCAAAATAACAACAACAACACACATACACAGTTAATTATATATATGTATAATCCCTCTCTCTTAAATAATTATATACTCAATTTTATAAACCTTTTTATTGAATACTCCTATACTCAAAGAAACAACAAATACTAAACAAAACAAAAACATACACATTGCATTGAAGGAGAAGCTAATAATTCACAAGGAACCCAGCTCTGTACACAGGTGTTGACAGAGTTGTATTTTAACTGACTCACAATTAAACAACAGGGTGACATGACAAGTTTCCCTTTGGACGAAAAACAAATCACAAGCTTTTTTCCCTCTCATTGGCTTCTCAATTCAAAGTCTTTGAAAATGTATGTTAACTTTTTATAACAAAAACAATATATTTTAAACAACAACAACAACAACTACTACTACATACTTGTCACAATTACTAATTTTAATTATATAAATCAAACAAACAACTCTAAATGAGCACAACTTTAAACAAAACTAAAACAAATAATTAATTATTATAAAAAAGCTTTTAAAAATACACACACACACATAAGCCAAATATGAAAAACAAAACAACAACATAAAATGATAATAATTTTGTTAAAGAATTGCTGTGGATGGAGGAAGGGTCAAGGCAATCATATCAAAAGGCAAGGATTGGCCTCTGCTGTCCCTAAAACAAACTCTCCAGCCACATAAAATTCTTCTTCTTCATCTTCTTGCATTAAAGTTAAACTTTATTTGAAATAAAACGTTTTGTTCAACAATATTCAACAACAATTTAATTGTTATCAAAAACACAAAGATAAGAAAAAAAAACAAACAAGCAAATCAAAACAAAGCAAGTAATTAAATTAAATGTTAAACAAATTTGTTTGTATTTAAGTAACATATCTTAATTAAGTTTAAGTAACTTTCTAAGGCTACGTTTATATAGAGGGTGTACAAAACCAGTTCTATTTGACATATCTTGGTATGTATGTATACAATGGACGCCATAAACATAGCCTGAAGAATTGTAGAATTGCAATTCTTCTCTCTTTTTTGGTTAAGATTTTCCTCTCCCTCTCTCTCTTGCTTTCTTTGTAATATATTATTTCTTTCTCTCTTTTTTTATATTGTAATCTGTTAAGCGAAACCTAAACAAACAAAAATAATTTTATATTAATCAATTATTTTTTTATTTTGCAAAATGTGTATTGAAAATACATAAAATTAGCAATTAATTATTTTTATAAACAAAAGAAAAAAACAAACAAAGAACGAAGCAAATTATATTCAGCCGAAATAAAAATCAATTCTAATTAAATTGCAGTTAATTATTATTATTATGTCTTAAATAAAACAACAAAAATATTATTGTGTGACACAATTTTAAAATACAAACAAAAAAAACAATAAAAACTAAAAAATTAATGAAAATGTGGTTTTATTGCAAAAAAATGGTATGTTTGGGAGAATACAGGGCATGGTAGATGTACCTGATGAATATAGCGCTCGCTGTGATCAAAAAAGTACGTATGTACCATGGTAGAAGAATATAGGTAGACGCGTCGACACAGCTGCTGGGACAATGAACTGTCAAACCAATTTTGGAATTGAAATTTTTGAATAAAATATTGTTAAATTTTTAAAAAAAATGCACATCATAACAACCTCCATTTGACGTCGGATACGAAAAAATATACAAATCTACTTATTTTAAAGAAATAGGTAAAAATGTTGACATATCAATGTTCCCAAGCGTTGATGCATCTACCTGAATTTTTCTACACGTCCACGTGGACGTCTTTATACAACACACAAGGACAGTAGGAGATATAGGACAGTGAAAGATAATTTTTTCTTACAAAACGACTGCAAGTATCCCTCCTAAAGGCCGCCATATTGAATTTATACATTCTTTTGAAAGAAGGTAAAGCTGAGAGGAAATCCAGTCTGATTACCCAAAAATTTGTAGCAATTATTTCTGGATGTCGTCTGTTAACGCAAAAGTTCTCATCTCCAGAAGAAGAGGCATTCGAGAGAGAAGTTTTGACTTCTATTTTATTCCTTAGAAATTCTCACCAGACTAATTTGAGCTTGCAATCTCTTTCAACTCTTCTTAATTTTTTTTGCGAAATCAGTCAGCAGTTTTAAGTTAATATTTTAAAATTGTTTTTTTTTTTTTAATAATTATGGGATTCCGTTAAATTAGGACCATACATTGACATTCTTTGCGAGAATTAGGATTTTAAAATATCAAATTACTTTTTGCGCTTATTTGGCAGGCTTAAGTTATCGGCTGGCATCTTCGTATAGGAACAAACGAGTTTTAGATTGACTTAGTTCGATTTTGGCTCTGGGCTCCTTTTTTCATATCCGAAGAAGCCGGCCGATGTTTTAAGGTGGGAATACTTACAGCGCTTATCTGGCTGGCTGACTTAAGTCATTGGCTGGCTTCTTCGGAAATGAAAAAAGGGGCCTAGGGCCAAAATCGAACTAAGTCAACCTAAAACTCATTTGCTCATCTACGAAGAAGCCAGCCAAATATGCGCTTTATCTATTTCCACCCTTAAGCCTGCCAAATAAGCCTTTTCTATGCTCTCCCCCGTAAAGTTTTTTCAAAATGTTAACCCAAGACTTCAAATTTAAAAAAATAAAGTAAAAAAATATTAAGTTCGGCCGGGCCGAACTTTTAACACCCTCCACCATTTTTCAAAAAAAACCATAAGGTGGGTGATGCCGTTATATGGGGCCATACCAAAAACGGGAATCTCTCTAGACAATTTTATACTTCAAGGATTTTCATTTACCAAATCTTCTTAAATTCCAAATTTTAAATAATTTCGTGGATAAAGGAACTAAGATTATCAAAATACCGAATATTGGTGGGTATCGTTATATAGGAAAACGTGGACCTAAAAATTCAATGCTCTGCCGTCGAAGCTAGAACCCAATATGAACTACAATTAGCAATTTTAGGACAAATCGGTGAAAAAATGAGGCGAAAGTCATTAAAATACCTAATATCGAGAGGTACCGTTAGAATGCGGCTATACCAATGCTTTCAATACCAACCATCCAGACGCAATACAAGTTGTTCTGCCACATTTTGAAGCTCTATGTCAAATAATGTGGGCTGTATCGTGATTTCAACAGACAGAGAGACAGATAGGTAGGCAGACGGACATCGTTAAATCGACTTAGAATTTCATACTGATTATGAGTATATATACTTTCTGGGGTCTACGACGGATATTTAGGAATGTTACAAATGGAATGGCAAAGTTAATATACCCCCCTTTCCAAGGTGGAGAGTATAAAAACACCGTTGAGGTATGGAGTATAAAAAAGAATACAGAGGCAAGTTTAAAAAAGAACCCAGAATCGAATCAACAATAAAACCATACGGTTGTGTTTCCTTTCTCGCCTTTGTACAAGGAACAGTTAAGAACATCGTACGATATTAAATCACACTAACTGATCATAAACTCTTGGCTCTTGTTATGTGTAAGCATGGTAGAAGAATATAGGTACGCGCATCGACTCAGCTGCTGGGACAATGAACTGTCAAACTAATTTTGGAATTTAAAATGTTGAATGAAAATTATTTAAATTTATAAAAATTGTTGAAAAACGCTTATTATAATAACATCTGAATGACGTCCTATAAGAAAACATATAAAACACTATTTATTTTTGAAGAAACATTTAAAAAAATTGACATGTCAATGTTCTCAAGCGTTGATGCATCTACCTGTATTCTTCTACCATGTGTGTAAGTGTACACATGTATCAACTCTTCAATGTGTGTAGCATCGCCTCAAATCTAACACAATAAATATTTGACTAATAACTTAACTTAAGCTGACAGATTACAGCCATCAAATCGACATCAAAATCCGATTAAATCATACAAGATGACAAGGTTGTTTAACTACCAAGAGGAGTGTGTAATTCAAATAAATATCATATGAATCATAACATTTTAAATAATTGGCTAGTTTTTAAATTGTACGGGTAAATACTGGGACGGCGTTTTTGACTGGCTTTAGTCATCGGCTGGCTTCTTTGTAAAAGAACAAAGGAGAAAAGGACGACAAAGATAACACTCCAGAATTATTGTGTAATTTTGGCCTAGGGCCAAAATCGAACTAAGTTAACCTAAAACTCCTTTGTTTCTCTACAAAGAAGCCAGCCGATGACTTAAGGCAGCCAAATAAACGCTTTATGTATTTCCACCTTTAGTTCAGTCGTCGTCGCAGCTATTTCACATACGCACAAACTTTTCGGATATGTATAAAAATATTTGCAACCAAATTTGTATTTTGGCACCATCTGTTAAATTAAAAACTTTACCTTCTTGATATAACCAGAAATTAGAGCAACGTTTGGTGAATTCAGACTAGAACATTTTTGTTCTTCTCGTCTCCAATCACGACTTTTATTGCAAGAATATCGACTGATTATAGGTGTGTCTGGTTACTTTTCCAGCAGGAATTGTCCAGCAACTTCTTTCTGAGAGAGTAAGGTAGTTTTATTCTCTTTAGCAAGAAAATTACGAGAAGTAAACATAAGGTATTTCCGCAGAAGCTTGCAACTAATCAGCTGATTTGTCAAAACAAACCAATTTGTCCCCAAATAAAGAATTAAAATAAAGGAAGCACCACCGATTTTATAAGTTTTATAAATAAAAATGTTGGAAATATTCTTTTATTTTCATATTACATATAAATATTTACGTTTTTCACATTTTGTAAAGTTGTTCTCCAAAAACAATAAGTCTTGCTAATTCCAAAAAATATTTTCAAATTGAAGGTATAAAAATAAAAAAATAAACAATGTAAAACATCTGATTAAATGTCGATGAATGAGAAGAAGAAGAGTTGCAAGTGATTGCAAGAAGAAATTTGTCCAGCAAGAATTTGCAAACTCTCACAGAAAGAACTGTCAAAATGTCTCTCTTCAACCGCACTCTTTTGCAGAACTTTCGGGTTAACAGACGACTTCCAGTAACAATTTGTAACAATTGTTACAAATTTTAGGGTAACCCGACACATTTTATATCAGTTATTGTTTCAGATGTCCATTAAGCTCTTGTGCGCATACACATTTTTACAACAGAGAATCATCCACAGGCCAGGCTCCCTCTTCGATGGCATAAAAAGGGCATTCATTTTCAACAACGCAAAAATCATTTAAATTTTGACATTACATTGCAAGCCATTATGATTGTGTTAACGAGTTTTTAAGGGCTCCAGCTTGGATAACGTTCGTGCGCAGCAGGTGATTAAATTGTGATGATGGCACGCAACTCAATGGCTATGAACTGGATATATTTTGAAAATATGTATAATTTATGGGAATTGATTTAATCGATTTTGTTAATCGATAAACAAAACTAAAAAATATTACACCCGGAAGTAGTAATTAAAGTTGTGAGAACAAGTAAAACGAAGTTATTTTGTGGCACATTGTAAAACTGAGAGTTTAAAGGTGAGAGTACATAAATAGCTTTTTTGATTGGCTTAAGTCATCGGCTGTATTTTTTTGTAAAATAACCAAGAAGACTTAGGTTGACTTAGTTCAATTTCGACCCATTCACCCACCTTTGTTCTTTTACGAAGAAGCCAGCCGATAACTTTAGCCAGTAAAAAACTTTTTCTATGCGTTCTCACCTTTACACACACATTGAATTACATACTTATACGTATTTGGATTAGACGACATTTATGATCTTTATAATCACCCAAAATAATACCGAATAAATACATAAAGGCTGGAAATACATAAAGAGCCAAATATGCGCTTTATGTATTCCCAACCTTAAGCTGGAAATACATAAAGCGCTTATCTGGCTGGCTTAAGTCATCGGCTGGCTTCTTCGTAGATGAACAAAGGAGTTTTAGGTTGACTTAGTTCGATTTTGGCCCTGGGCTCCTTTGTTCATTTCCGAAGAAGCCAGCCGATGACTTAAGTCAGCCAAATAAGCGCTTTATGTATTCCCACCTAAAATGCATTCTAAAGATTGACAGTTTCTACGGCATTTGATAAATTAAGCACCGCAATAGTTCTTTTACAAAAAAGACAGCCGATGACTTAAGATGGAGGACTTAAGATGAGGCCTTTTTGAATGGCTTCTTCGTAAACGGACGACTAAAG